GCCAGCTGCCACCTTGCCCTGAGACTTCTCCATCCTGGCTGCTTGTCTCTGCTCCTCCTACCAGTTTGGATGTGTGTGTCTTCATTAATTCCTTGGTTGTCTGACTTCCATGCAGTTTGATTTTTCTGGAAGTTCTGGTCATTTTTGGTTTTTAAATTTCTTGTCGTTGTTCTTTTGGTTGTGAGAAGAGGCTAAGTGTATCTACCTATGCCTCCATCTTGGCCAGAAGTAGTCAACAGATAATCTTAAAAGTACCTAAAGTTAAGACCAGATTTTAGGATGAATACAACCAAATTACAACAATTAAATTAAAGCCAAGGTTCATCACTAGAAACTCTGATTATTATAAAGCCAAATTTGAAATACGATAGTTGTTTAAAAATAAAGGCTTCTGATTATGTTTTTTAAATGTTAAAGTCTGAACATATTTAGATGTTTTAACATTATATTTAGAAGTTTTAAAATTCTATATTCAGAAGATTAAAAAAGTAACATACGTAGGCTCACATTTAGTACACCTTTGACTTGTCTATCTTTAGCACTTAAAACACTGATTTTAATTTGAAGAGGAAGAGATGAAAATGCTTAGTTCCAGGCCCTTGTCTAAGAACACTCACTGTGTTCCATGAATCTGAGATTTCCACTACCACTGAGTAAGAAACTATGACTTACCCATGCTTAAACCAGCAGCCAGTAACAATGGTGAGAGTTAGCTGAAACCTGGGTCTAACACTTCTCTTTTTACTACCTTTTTTCTTGTTTCTAATTTGAATCGATGACGTATAGATACACAAAAATGGCCTCCCTCTGATTAAGAGAATTGTGTCTAGCAAACCATCTCAAGAGTTGGATTTGGGACTTTAGCAGTATATCTTTAAAAAATGATAACTACAGCTATTGTAGAGGTTGCCCACTTATCGCATGATGACCTGGTATATAGTCTTGCCTTAGGAGGTGAGTACAGGAGGACAAGGAAAGGAGTTAGAAGTGGTTCAGTGGGGTGAAGAAGGAGCACTTCCTGTGCCTAAACAGAGCTCTCTTTGAGGGTGGTGGTGTTGTCTACATTGCATGTGGCAACTGAACATGAGAACTGAATCTCAAGAGTTTAAAAAAACTATTTATCTATCTCTATATCTATTTGTTTAGAGGGAAAGGGAGAAAGAAAGAGAGGGAGAGAAATATTGATGCGAGAGAGAAACATCAATTGGTTGCCTTTTGCACATGTTCTGACTGTGGACCTACTTGCAACCCAGGCCTGTGCCCTGATTGGGAAGTGAAATGACACTTAGTGTGACAATGCCCAACCAACTAAGCCATGTTGGCCAGGGCCAGAAGTGAAGAGTTTTAAGTTCATTTAATTTTAATATATTTAAAATTTCAACAGTCACAGTGATTAGTGGCTACTATACTGGACAGTGCAGAACTACATGCACTTTTAATTTATATTTTTGTTCTCACAGGTTAATATGAATTTATCTAAATATGGAAGTTCCTCCTGGGTGTTAGCAACTGGAGACAGAGAGTAAATTCAGCATAACCCGTACTCTCAGGGAGCTTGCCCTCTGGTGGGAGAGAGAGAAATACACGGATTACAATATACAGTGTAAAATGTCCTAACAAAGAGAAGGGAAGGTTATTATGGGATCACACAGAAGGGAGTCCTGATGAGTTAGTGGTGCCAGGGAAAAGAGAAGGTGAGGTATCAAAGCATGCTGTTAAAAGAGAAACAGAAGTTAGGAGTGAGGGTAGACTGAGGTAGGGAATGGTGTTGCAGATATTAGAACACCAAGGCTCTTATGCACCTTATTTGGGGACATGCACTTAATCCTGTAAGTGGCAAAGAGCCTTCAAAAGATGTCAAGCATGAGTGACAAAGGCTCTGGTGGCATGTGTGAGATAAAATTGGGGAAGCTAGGAAGGAGAAAAGTAAGATAGGACTGAGAGAGAGACAGCATGTGTGAGAGCACACACTGAAGCCAAGAGTTTAAAAAAACTACTTATCTATCTCTATATCTATTTATTTATTTAGAGGGAAAGGGAGAAAGAAAGAGAGGGAGAGAAATAAATAAGGATATTTATTATTTTTATTGTTTGAAAAATATTTTCTACCAAAATTGTTATTACTGGCATTTCCTGGATTAGGAGTGAAGACTGGTGAGAGGGGAATTAAAGAATAATTCCTTATATTCTATACCTTGGATGAATGCGGAGAGGATGAAACCAGCAACCAAGATAGCAAACAGAGAAGAGTAACTTGCTGTATGTTATTGGTTTATCAGGGGGAAAGGGAGAAGGGAAGCAAGAATATAATTTCATTTTACAGAAGCTGATTTTGAGGGCCAGACAGTGGAGATACACAAGACAGATGCTAAGATGGAGGCATAGGTAGACATGATTCGCTTCTTTGCATTACCACAGAAAGAATCACAACTTAATCTCAAAACAAATAACATAGAGAACTGTCAGAAAATAGAACTGTATGGAAGCCTGACAACCAAGGATTTAAAGAAGCCACATTCCTCCAGATGGGTAGGAGAGGCAGAGACACAGAGATGGGCAGAGAGGTGAGGAGACACAGTGTGGCATGGAGGGATGACAGCAGTGGTGTAACAGGCAAGAGCAGTCCCACATTCATGTGTGGTAGATAAAGATTGGGAGGGATACCTTGGGAGTGAGTCATCCCAGCCCTAAGCCAGAATGCACAGCCCAGGTTCCAGCTCCAGGAAGGTAAGTCCCTGTAACTTGTGGCTGTAAAAACCAGTGGGGGTTCGGGTGGCAGAAGAAACTGCTGAATTTTCAGGTAACTCTGCTTAAATAGCCCAGATGGTCTTAAAACATATGCAAACCCACCCACTCTGGGATTCAACACCAGGGCAACAGCTGGAAGGGCACCAGTTGCATATGGGGAGTGGGAGAAGTGACTGGAAATAGAGAAAATGCCAGTCACACCTCCAGAAGTCAGGCAGGGGCACAGTCCCTTGACTGAGCCCTCCCTCTATGCAGTCACAAACTAGTGAAGCAGGCTGCCCCGCCCCGACGATTACCTAAGGCTCTGCACCACACAATTTATGGGTACCTTTTTGGCAATAAGACATGCTACTAAGACAGGGAGTGAAAGCAGCTCTACCTAATACACAGAAACAAACACAGGGAGGAGGCCAAAATGAGGAGACAAAGAAGTATGGCCCAAATGAAAGGACAAAACAAAACCCCAGCAAAACCACTAAATGAAATGGAGATAGCCAACCTATCAGATGCAGAGTTCAAAACACTGGTAATCGGGATGCTCACAGAAATGACTGAGTACAGCTGTAAAATAAAGAAAGAAGTGAAGGCTCTACAAAGTGAAATAAAGAAAAATGTACAGGGAACCAACAGTGAAGGGAAGAAAAATGGGACTCAAATTAATGATTTGGAGCAGAAGGAATAAATAAACATTCAACTGGAACAGAATGAAGAAACAAGAATTAAAAAAATGGAGACTTAGGAACCTCTGGGACAACTTTAAATGCTCCAACATCTGAACCATAGTGGTACCAGAAGGAGAAGAGGAAGACTAAAAAATTGAAAACTTATTTGAAAATATAATGAAAGAAAAGTTCCCCAGTGTGGCAAAGGAAATAGATATACAAGTCTAGGAAGCTCAGAGTCCCAAAGAAATTGGACCTAAGGAAGTACACACCAATGCACAGCATCATTAAGTTATTCGAGATTAAAGATAAGGAGAGAATCTTAAAAGCAGCAGGAAAGGAGACAGTCACCTACAAAGGAGTTCCCATAAGACTATAAGCTGATTTCTCAAACCTTGCAGGCAAGACAGGGCTGGAAAGAACTATTCAAAAGCATGAAAGGCAAGTACCTACATCCACAATGACTCTATCCAGCAAAGCTATCATTTTGAATGGAAGGGCAGATCAAGTGCTTCTCAGATAAGGTGAAGTTAAAGGAGTTCATCATCGCCAAGTCCTTAAATGAAATGTTAAAGGGACTTATCTAAGAAAAAGATAAAAACTAGGAACAGTAAAATGACAATAAACTCACAGCTATCAAGAACTTAACCTAAAATAAAAACAAAAACAAGAACAAATTAAGCAAAGAACTGGAACAGGAAAAGTATCACAGAAATGGAGATCTCATGTAGGAATATCAGCAGGGAAAGGGAAGGAGGAGAATGGGGGAAAAGGTACAGGGAATTAGAAGCATAATTTGTAGGTACAAAATAGAGAAGGGGAGGTTAAGAATAGTATAGGAAATGGAGAAGGCAACCAACTTACATGTACAACCCATGAACATGAACAAAGGAAGGGGGAATGCTGGAGGGAATTGGGGTGCTGGGAGGAGGAGTCTAAGGGGAGAAAACAATGGGACCACTGTAACAGCATATTCAAAATAATATACTTAAAAAAAGACTGATGCTGCAGATCAGCTCAAAGAAGATTTGGGAAGCAAAAGCATCAGCATCCATCTTGTTTCTTGAATACAAGAAGGATATTAGGTTTTCCCCCAAAGGGCAGTAGGTGAAAGATGAGATCTGGAAAACAGTAGCAGTCTTCTTTCTCAGGCCTTTCTGTTGTTATTAATATTACAGAAAGAACAATCTTCAGTATGGATGTATACTTCAGAGAGAGAAATAAATGGGTCAGTATACCACAGTGTTAAGTGTTTTCAATGAATCATGTTTTTCTTTTTCCTCCCTCCAAACAAAAGATATTTAATGTAAGTTTGAAAATTGTTGACTTATTTTAACCCCACCATTATCTAAGACTATATCAATATTTCAAAACTTATTCTATACACTATGGGCATTATATTGGCTTTTACTAAGTGATAGTAAGTAACCCAATATTTTATTTCCTCTAAATAATTTTGAATTCTAATGTTATTGTTTGAAAAGTGGGACAGGATTAAGTAACAACTGAAGCAACAGAATTAATAAACTAGGTCTTACCATCATAGACTTGGAGTCAAGATTTGTGAACCCAGACCTCAGGGGAGCTCACCTCTGAGTCAGAGCTGTCCAGTTCAGCCAGAGTTGGAGCTTTGAGGAGCTTCTTCTGCACAGGCACCTGCTGCACAGCATTTAACCCATTTTCCTTTCTTCGTGATGTTAAACTTCCATTCACCACCGATGATTCTACAATGTTCTTTGGAGATTCAGGGTTAGTTACATCTGGTGAAAAAAAAAAAAGATGAAAGCTCACCTTTTCTTGAGCCAAGAAAGGTAATCAATGGATGAAACACACTATTTCAAGTTACTGAATCAGAAACACACAGCAGATGGCATAGCAGTTCCATGTCATGCAAATAAAACAGAGAGGCTTAATACAATAACACCTATGTATACAAAACATTTTTGTTAGATATTAACTGTCAGATTCAATTAAAGAAGACCTTTAACTGACATTATATATTCACATTTATAGATTAAAATTTAGAGGTGGAAGAAATTCTACAGATAACTGACTGACTCCAACTTCTTGCTTTTCTAAAGGCCCAGAGAGGTAAGTTTTACTTTATGGACTCTACGGAGCTAGTGATAGATAGATCAAAGTGATGGCATGCATGAAGCCTTATTAGGTGCATGGATGTAAGATATGACAATAGTTTGATATGAAATATCTAATAATCTATATTCATATAAATATGAACACAAAGAATCTGGGATACATTCCCTCTGATAAAGCTGACTTAGCTTATTCAGAGCTCAAAATGGAAGGGAAATCAATATAACAAATTAAAGAAATGCAGTATTACAGAGTAGAGTACTGAGCAAAAAGTACAGAGTATACAGGACAGTTAGATGCAGATAGTTTTGGTTCAAAATCAAGTTCTGCTGCTAGTTACCTAACCTCTTGTTTCTTCATCTATAAAATGGTCTAACAACAGACACGAGTTTGTTGAGAGGATTAAATAAGTTAACAATTGCATATAAAATACTTAATACTGTGTATAATAAAGGTAGTATGCCAGGAATGTCAGCAATTAATAACACTAATTTGTGTCTATATTAACAAGTAAGTAAACTAAGGCTCTGAGTAATTTAGCTAGAGGCACACAGCTAGTGTGTGGCAGAAACCTGAATCCTGCTTAGTACTGACTCTAAAGGCCACTTTTTTGTACAATAGTTTGTAATTTTCTGACGCAAGTGGAACTAATTTCTGTCATTATTTCAAATGAAGTGTTAAATATCTAAGTTTAATAATTAACTACTAAATTATAGTGTTTAAAAATGAGATAAAGCAGTCACTGCATAATTTAAGTTCAACATCAGCACCATGAACTGATCTATGCATATGGAACAGTCTGTTAAACTCCTGTAGTTGGGGTAAAGGGTACATTAAACACTAAAGTGAAAAAAGACATGATAAATGCTCCTATATAAGGAGAAAGCATTGTAACTGAATATAAGAATATAGTAGTTACCCCCAACAGATAATATTTAAATACTTGAAGTTTAAGTGGATTTCCAGGAAACATTTTGTATATAAGTGTGTTCTGGTACAGCCTTCCATGACATTATTTTAAATAATCATGTAAATTCTTTATGATACATGGTATATAGCTGCTTTAATATTTACAATTTGTGCTTATTTGTAGCGATCAAGAAGGCTGGAGAACATGCCCTTGTGAACTAAAAGGGTTTGAGCAATCAAAAAAGGATGAAGGAAAGAAAAAAGGAAGCAAGAGGACAGACATGTTTGTCCATCAATCATTTATCATTTTACATAAAATCTCTAATAGAAAACTTGACAACACATGTATTAATTCTGTTACTACATTTCTAGGTATTAAGTAGCTAAAACAAATACATAATTGGGGAAGGAGGTATACTGAAAGAGCAAAAGCAACAAGTTTTTACACACACATTATAACAGTTAAAGTCTTCAAGTGCACTTAAAAAATTTTTAATTATTGTTCAAGTACTGTTTTCTGTCTTTTTTTACACCCCTCCCAGCCCACCCCCCCCAGTGCTCTCCACCTCCTTCCCATTTCCACCCCCCTAATTTTTTGTCCATGTGTCCTTTATACTAGTTCCTGTAAATCCTTCCTCCTTTCCCCCCGGAATTCCCTCCCCTTTCCCCTCTCATCACTGCCAGCCTGTTCTCTATTTCAGTGTCTTTGGTTTTATTTTACTTGCTTGTTTATTTTGTTGTTTAGCCTCCCGTTAAAGGAGAGATCATATGGTATTTGTCTTTCACTGCCTGGCTTATTTCACTCAGGATAATGTTTTCCATTTCCATCCATGCTGCTCCAAAGGGTAGGAGGAGCTCCTTCTTTCTTTCTGCTGCATAGAATTCCATTCTGTATATGTACCATAGTTTTTTGATCCATTCATTTACTGCCGGGCACCTAGGTTGCTTCCACCTCTTGGCTATTGTAAATTGTGCTGCTATGAACATTGGGGTGCATAGGTTCTTTTGGATTGGTGTTTCAGGGTTCTTAGGATATAATCCTAGCAGTGGGATTGCTGGGTCAAAAGGCAGATTCATTTTTAGTTTTCTGAGAAATTTCCATACTGTTTTTCATAGTGGTTGTACTAGTCTGCAATCCCAGAAAGTGAACTAGGGTCCCCTTTTCCCCACAACCTCTCTAACACTTGTTGTTTGTTGCTTTGTTTACAATGGCCATTCTGACTGGTGTAAAGTGGTATCTCATTGTGGTTTTAATTTGTATCTCTCTTATAGCTAGTGATATTGAGCATCTTTTCATGTATCTCTGGACAATCTGTGTGTCCTCCTTGGAGAAGTGTCTGTTCAAGTTCTTTGCCCACTTTTTAATTGGGTTGCTTGTCTTCAAGTGCACTTTTAATCAGGAGGTTTAGAGAGTGGTAGGCTGCCATCCTTAGGAGAGTAATTTAAAAGTTTTCCAGAAAGCAAAGGAGGAAATGATTGAGCTAACTAATTAATTCCTTTTCAAGAAAAAAGGTAGTAGTGCTTAAATATGGTCTTGAAGTATATTACTAAAAATCTTATTCTATAGGGTATCTTATTTTATACACTTCCTATAGAATTATGTTGTAGTAGTTAGTGTTTTAAGACAAAGCACAGTTAAAAATGCACACATCTTTCATCCCTCTTAACTACTCATATTCCAACTAAGGCTCCCAAATTGGAGGTATAGTGAGAAGAGCACAGTCAGCTTTACAGGGCAGGTTTTACATTCCCAATCTACCAGGTCAGGGTGACACTCTCAGTAGTAAATCAAGGAACACTAAACAGTTTTAATGGTTATATATTTATTTTAATGTTTCAGAAAAAATACCATATTGGATACATGATTTTATGAATGATTTTGCTTAAGATTTTAAAAAGTCATTTATGATAGATTCAAAAAATTTAAAGTACCTGGCAGCACTTAAGTCTGGCAAAAACCCTGAGGGTGGTATCTCAACTGAAGTTTAGGAAACACTGTTAAGGGATAGGGGCTGCCATGAGTTCATTTCATTCTCAGTGCAGGGAATCTGAAAAATTACCTGACAGCTCTCTAATTGCCCAAATACTACTATGAGATTGATAATTGTATTTGAGTTCACTGACTAAAACTACTAAAATAAAAACCTTGTGCTAAATACAAAGCTTTAAAATAAATAAGATTAATAAAAATTATGCGGTGTTAATAGTCATGTTTGAGAATGATCTCCACATATAAGATTAAATACTATGTGTGATTTTATCTCATATCTCATATTTGTAAAAGACCCAGTTAAACATATTTTTAGGTTTTTTACATATATTTTATTGATTATGCTATTACAGTTGTCCCATCCCCCCTTCACTGCCCTCCACCCTGCACACCCTCTCCCACCCACATTACTCTCCTTTAGTTCAAGTCCATGGGTCATATAAGTTCTTTGGCTTCTCCATTTCCTATTCTATTCTTACCCTCCCCCTTTCTATTTTCTACCTACTATCTATCCTACTTGTTCTCTGTATCTTTTCCCCTTCTCTCCCCCTTCCACTACCACACACCTGTTGTTAACTCTCCATGTGATCTCCATTTCTGTTGTTCTATTCCTGTTCTAGTTGTTTGCTTAGTTTGCTTTTGTTTTTGTTTTAGGTGTGGTTGTCAATGATTGTGAGTTTGCTGTCCTTTTACTGTTCATATTTTTTATCTTCTTTTTCTTAAATAAGTCCCTTTTTGTATAATTAGGGCTTGGTGATGATGAACTCCTTTAACTTGACCTTATCTGAGAAGCACTTTATCTGCCCTTCCATTCTAAATGAAAGCTTTGCTGGTTACAGCAATCTTGGATGTAGGTCCTTGCCTTTCATGACTTGTAATACTTTTTTCCAGCCCCTTATCACCTGTAAGGTCTCTTTTGAGAAATCAGCTGACAGTCTTATGAGAACTCCTTTGTAGGTAACTGTCTCCTTATTTCTTGCTGCTTCTAGGATTCTCTCCTTCATTTTAATCTTGGCTAATGTAATTAGGATGTGCCTTGGTGTGTTCCTCTTTGGGTCCAACTTCTTTGGGATTCTCTGAGCTTCCTGGATTTCCTGGAAGTCTATTTCCTTTGCCAGATTGGGAAAGTTATCCTTCATTATTTGTTCAAATAACTTTCCCACTTGTTGCTCTTCTTCTTCTTCTCCTTCTGCTACCCTTATAATTTGGATATTGGAATGTTTAAAGATGTCCCAGAGGTTCCTCAGCCTCTCCCCATTTCTAAAAACTTTTTGTTTCTTCGTTCTTTTCTGGTTGAATGTTTCTTTTTTCCTTCTGGTTCACACCGTTGATTAGAGTCTCAGTTTCCTTCCCATCAGTATTGGTTCCCTGTACATTTTCCTTTATTTCACTTAGCATAGCCTTCATTTTTTCATCTAATTTGCGACCAAATTTGACCAATCCTGTAAGCATCATGATTACCAGTGTTCTAAACTGTGCATCTGATAGGCTGGCTATCCCTTCATCGCTTAGTTGTATTTTTTCTGGAGCTGTGATCTCTTCTTTTATTTGTGCCATTCTTTTTTGTCTTGGTACACCTGCTATGTAGTAAGGGGTAGAGCCTTAGGTATTCACCATGGTGGGGCAATCCATGTGGCTGGGTTGTGACACAGTATGTAGGGGAGGTGTCCAAGAGGGAACAATGGCGCTTGCTCTGCTCTCTGCCAGTTTTCAGTCACTTCCTCTGCTATCCACAAGCAAAGTGGGCCCTTCTGGTGCTGATTCCCA